AACTAGTCATATGAAACATAATGTATTATGAATAAAATCTAAAAAAGATTTTTCTTTTTAAATGTTTTAGTTCTGCATTTTAACTATGAATGTCATAATACTGTTAGCTTTTACTGCAATAAAATGCACATTTGTATTTAGTGATGTCTCACAAGTACAACTGTACCCCGCATGTACAGGTGTTATGGTGTTTTGGAAAGTTACAGACTCAAATATAGCACATTTCATTTTTCAATATATACACACTGAAATTTGCCAGTCTGGTTATGTTGCCTTTGACAATGTATCGTAGCCCAGAAATTAGAATTAGCCCCATGATAGCATACCATTAACAAAAGTGGACAACCCAGGTTATTCAATATGGGGTATGTACAGTCTTTTTTAGTAGCCATTTACTCACAACAACTGGCCAAAGCGTTCATATTTGTTTATGTGCGAAAAATGCAAAAACAAATATGAAAGTTAACTTTGGCCAGTGTTTGTGTCTAAGTGGCTACTAAAAAAAAAAAGACTACACATACCCCATTTGCAATACCTTGGGTTGTCTACTTTTGCAAATGGCATGCCATCATGGGGGTAATTCTCATTCCTGGGCTATCATATGGTCACAAAGGCAATATAACTAATCTGGCACATTTTAATGAAAAAATGAAATGGGTAAGCCTTATATTTTACCCTGTAACTTTCAAAAACACTTAATCGAGTAAACAGTAAAACGTATTACAACAATGATATAATCAGTAAAAGTGACCCTTGTGTGTAAAAAATGCAAATAAATCGCACTTTCACTGACAATATCGTTGTGATATGTTTTACTGTGGTTTTATTGTTGACAGTTAATCTAACCCCAGAGTATAGTTGTCACATGAATAAAATCAGGAGAGATAGAGTTAATAGAAACTAGCTATAGCCCCTATATAAGTTTATTTTGCTCCAACCACAAGTGGCAACAAGTCTCAATATGCTCGACATAAATCACCATAAGTATCTATATGCTCAAGTCAATCGGATCCACCGGAGGATCTCCTGGCTGTATGAGCAAATTTATATGCTATAACTTAGGGCTAGCTACAAAAACTTAATCTTGAATTATCACATTACCTAATAAATATATATATTTGAACAAAGGGAAACTATTATCGGCAGTATTCAATATCGTTGCCATGTTCCCCTTAATCCAATTACAGATAGTGATGATACCTAGCAAGATATTTAATAGAGGGAAACTATTACCGGCAATATTTAGTGTCGTTGCCGTGTTTCCCTTCAAACAATTCACGCACTCAATGCTGGAACACACCTGAGTGGGGCTATCTGGTAGGCTATCAAAAGATAGTAAAAAATGGCTCAGACGTCCCTAACAGGGTAATAGATAAAAAAGTAGTAGAAATAGTGCCTTTGTGGGCACCTAGTACAGGAAAGCAATGAGAAAATAGAAAATCCCGAGAGCTGAATGAACAATCAGACAGTTCAGAGTGGTGTACTGCTGGAGATATTAGTTGACTGTGATAGAATTGCCCTGATGGGTAACTGGTTAACCTATATAACTTAGACGGCTGTCGCTCACCTAAATTCACATTCTACCCGACACGCGCGTTTCGCCTAAATTAAAGGCTCATCAGGGGGAACCGGCACCCTGGTATAACTAGGTTTAAATAGCCCGTCCCTGAAGCTGATTGGTTCGCAGTTTTTCAATAACCTGAAATTTAAGATTCTCGGGTTTACCATCATGAACATTCAGAATATGCCAAATATATTGGCAGGCCTTACATTACCCGCACTTATATGTCAAACACTAAGGGTACATATAAGTGCGGGCACTTTAAGGCCTGCCAATATATTTTGCCCTCCAAGTCAACCACCTCCACAATGCGTTGTGAATGCTTTCCTATGGACTGGCTGAATGTGCGCGTGGCTCCTGCCGTGCATGCGCATTCAGCCAAAGAGGAGGAGAAGAGGGAGGAGAGGAGGAGGAGAGCTCCCCGCCAGGCGCTGGAAAAGAGGTAAGTTTAACCCCTTCCTCTCCCCAGAGCCCGGCGGGAGGGGGACCCTGAGGGCGGGGGCACCCTCAGGGCACTATGGTGCCAAGAAAACGAGTATGTTTTCCTGGCACTATAGTGGTCCTTTAACTCTATTTCTCCTGATTTTATTCATGTGACAACTATACTCTGGGGTTAGATTAACTCTCATCAATAAAACCACAGATGCTAATTATCACTGAGTGACTGTTTCAGTGAACAAGACAAAATTAGTTGATACATTGATACAATTTGTTGCAGTTACCTCTCCCCATCTAGTGTATATATATCTTTCACTGTTACGTCTATGTTTATTTTTTATATGTTTGGGCTCTCTGCTGAGACCACCATAATGGACCTCTCTTGAGTCAGGTGGTCACAGTTAGGTGCTCGTGTCCGTTTCTGTTTATTTTTGTGTGGTTTGGTAATTTAATAAAGTATCTTCAAGATTTTTAATGAACACTATTAGATCTCACGTACCTGTATATTCTACACTTTTACGGAGAGATCTTTTCTTTGTTATTTTTGGACATTATCATTTGGCCAACCCCTTTCTTGTTTTACTTGATATGTTTTACTGGTTTCAAACACTAATATTTATGTTCAGCGAAGTCTCCCAAGTAAAACAGTACCCCTCATCTACAGGTTTTAGGGTGTTTTGGAAAATTACAGGGTTAAATATAGTGCTAGCAAATTGAATTCTCTGGACTTTCTGCCTGGGTTGTCAGGCAGGTCCCTCAAATTGCAAACAATAAAATTACCTAATTAAGTAAAAATATTACATAAATAAGCACATAGAATTTAAAAAAAAAATATATATATATATATATATATATACACACACACATATATTTATATATTTGAAGTCTACGTGTATATTTATGAAATTAAGTATATGGATATATTTTTTTTAAAATTATTTTTATATAATTTATTATAAGTGTATTTTGATATGTGTGTGTATATATATATATATATGAAAATACAGTTAGATTACAATTACATATATAATGTTATCATTTTTATTTATTATTTTTTATTTACATATTTTATTTATATATATATATATATATATATATATATATACACACACGTCTCAGGTCCCAGCAATCAATGCTCCCGGTCTTTTGATGCTCCGATGCGGTCTCCAACCAAATTGTATACAATACCAGTAGAGAGCACTCAGGAGTCTTTCAAGGTAAATTTCATCTGTTGCTTTATTGAGCAATTACAAATTCACACAATGTTCCAGTCGACATTTCAGTCTGTAAAAGACTTTTACACTTTTACAGACTGAAACATCGACTGGAACGTTGTGTGAATTTGTAATTGCTCAATAAAGCAACAGATGAAATTTACCTTGAAAGACTCCTGAGTGCTCTCTACTGGTATAGTGTGTGTGTGTGTGTGTATATATATATATATATATATATAACTTAATTCTAAGTGTATTTTATATTAATATATGTATATATCAACATAAAAATACACTTAATATGACATTACATATATAAGATATATAGATATAATATATGTGGTGGTGGGGGGGAGTGTGGATGAAAACCCCTTCCATCTGAAGTAAGTGAATAGTTAATACATTGCTAAACACAAACACACTAGTCAAGCCATAAGATTTGCTTTTCCCACAGAAATCTCACTTTACAAGTGCTCTCACTAAGGCAAGGGATTCTGGGTAGGTGTATGCAAATGAGCTAAACAAAGAACCACATTTTTGCCTCAATTCCACTTTATAAATGGATTCCTTGGAGTATGTCTGCTGTATAAAGTGAGATTTCTGTGGGGAAAGCAAGTCTTATGGCTTCACTGGTGTGTGTATTTGTGTTTAGCAAAGTAGTATCTGTCAAAATGATCACATGGCCCGTGGGGGTCTAATTTCCCGGGGGGAGGGGGGGGACTGTCTGGGCTCTCAGGCACTCCCCGCAGACCGGGAGCAACGCCGATTGCCGGCGGGGAAACAGGTAAGTGGTGTGGACGACGGGGATGTCCTTAAGGGGTTTAAGGATTAAGGGGTTATATTGAACACAATTTAGCAGAGTTAACTGTGTGTTAGAAAACACGAAGTTGTGAGTGTAATACAAACATTTAAAGCAAAGCAACTATGCTGATGGTGTGTGAGCTACTACACTGTTTAAAAATCTACAATGCACAAATGTTCGATATTTAAAGATATCCTGATACTCACGTCACGTGATGACGTAGGAACATGGCGTGGCTGTATGGTGACAGGGGAAACGAAGTGAGAGAGACCTACGAGCCACATGGAATGCGAGCGTCTTCTAGGCACACTTGACTGAAAGCGTACGGAGTCTTTGATGCAGCTGAATCTCATCTGAATACAGTGCCAGGCTGACCCCTGAATGTTCCGAAAGTTGAGGCAGAGAGATTGGGAGTCTGGAGACCTGTGAGCTGCTTTACGGAAGCGAAACGGCCGGAGTGTGTGACTTTGCTGATGGTCAGACTCTTGATGTGCTCAGCTGGATTAAAATTGCAGTTTGCATTTATGCTACATATTGCCGGGTCTGTGTATGGGGCATAGCTCCTAAGTAGCGGCAGAAGTTATAGAAACAAAAAAAGGAAGTGATATAAAGAAAGGGGAAAATAGGAGACGGAAGAGAAGAAAAATAAAGTGAAAGATCGAGTGGAGGAAAGCCTGGAATCAAGATAGTGGGACAAGATTAGTGGAAAATTTTAAAGAGAAGGAAAAAGTCTTACAATGGGACTGTGACATTTTACAGAAGCGGGATGAGCAGAGATAAAGGTTTAAGAGCACTGAAGTGATATAAGTGCCTATCAAGCCTGGTCCAGCTCTCACGTTTACCTGGGTGGCTCTATTATATTTTCTCTCATTATAGTAAAAGTGTTAATACTCAGGAGACGTGGCCTGGACGGACATGGTGCAGGATGCATAACTACCAGGCTCCGCACCCCCGGCCGAAGAAAGGAGCTTTGAAGCACCAATAAATGAAAATGGTCCGCAATAAAAAGCGGTCGACCCCAGGGACCGCCGCGGCAGACTCACCTCGCCGGCACACGAGCCCGATGGATGGGTTCCTGGCATCTCAGCCAGAAAGGAGGGACACGAGGCCTGCAGAAAACATGGCGTCGGGCGCTGAAAGCATGGCGGAATCCCAGGCAGAGGGAAACCCGGTGGATGAGCTTGCGCTGATCCGGGATGAATTGACCCAGATATCTGCCAGGATGCTCACCAAAACGGACACAGGCATGATTATGCAAGAGCTCCGGGCGGCACTGCGGGAGGAGCTGGCAGGCCTGCGCTCTGACCTGAACACACTGAAGGGCAGGGTAGAAGAGGTGGAAGCTGCTGCTCAGGACTGCCCCCAGCAGCATCAAGCAACAGAAACAGCAGTCAACAGGCAAGGCAACCTGCTGCTCACACTGCCAGGATGCTCACCAAAATGGACACAGGCATAATTATGCAAGAGCTCCGGGCGGCACTGCGGGAGGAGCTGGCAGGCCTGCGCTCTGACCTGAACACACTGGAGGGCAGAGTAGAAGAGGTGGAAGCTGCTGCTCAGGACTGCCCCCAGCAGCATCAGGCAACAGAAACAGCAGTCAACAGCACACAGAGCATTGGGCCCCTCACGGCAAGACGGCAGCCCCAGAGACATTGTGTGCTGTCTGCAGGAAGGGGGCCTAAAAGAAAAAATCAAGGCGCCTGCGAGAGGGGTACCCACCATCAGGTTCCGGGAGGCGGACATCTCCCTCTACCAGGACCTCTCTGCCCTGACGCTGGACGCCAGAAGAGCCCTACGCACAGTCACGAGCGCACTCCGAGACAAAAGAATCCAGTATCGCTGGGGATTCCACTTCAGCCTGCAGGCGAAGCAGGGAAACACGTGGGTGACTGCGCGCTGGCCTGAGGACATCTCTGGCTTCATGAGAGTCCTACATCTGCCAGTAGTCAGAGTCAGGAACTGGGTCCTTGAGGAGGCCATAGCTGCAAGGAGAGACCACCTCGTCCCATTGCTCGTTGGGAAGGCCTTACCAACCCGGAAGAGTAGGATGTCGGAGGAGCTGGCTGAGCGGCGGGAGGACGGTGAGTTGTATTTCATGGGGACCGGTCCTAGCAGTACACTAATGGACTTGAGGGGGGTGTCCTGGACGCTTTTGGGGGGAATGGGAGGTGTCGTGGCAGTATACATAATCACCGGGCGCTGAGGGGGCCGTGGGGAAGCGGTAGGGCGGTCTGAAAGATTTGAGGAGAGGCCGACAGTCTACCCACCCCATTTTCTCTTTTGGGCAGGGCAAGGGAGGGAATGGGATTCAACAGCGGAACTGGAGACTAACGGCCCCGCATCACTAAAAGAGGGGTAGCCATTCTTTTTTTTTCAATTTGACAATTTTTATTTTGTTGAATATAAGAGGATAAGAGGATAGGGGTACAGAAATAAAGAGGGGGGGGGGAAGGTTTTAACTTCGAAATTGCAGTTGTTTTCCATTAACATAGTTCGTTTACATTAACATTAACACACATGATATTGCACTTGAGCGATGTTCCTTCGCAGCAAACAGGTCATTCTGATACTATGATTTGTGTTGTCTTGTTGTTTGGTTAGTGGGGGTTAAATGGTATGCCAAGGCAGACCACTAGCTGTTGTTCATGGGGCCCGTCAATGGTCCTCTCTGCTGACCTCTATTGCTATGTTGTCTCGATTCAGTTATCGTGTGGCAGTCCCTTGCCGAGGCTCTTATACCTGTGTCAGGTCATATCACGTGTGTGCGGAGTATCTTCCCCTCCTTCCCTCGTGCCACCCCATCCCCTAAATCGTTAAGAGCGGGTTCAGTATCTCCCTGAGTGTTCCAGGGGGCTTAGCGCCCCTTAGTGTACCTCGTTTTCCGTTCTGATCCCAACGCGGGGGCCGTGTGGTCCCGATTCTCTCTCGAGGGGGGGAGTGGAAGGCTAGCTCGTTCTTTAGTTTGTGTTGGCGGGGTGGACTTGCTCCTATAGTCTACCTGCCGGAAAGAGTTCTGGGGGGGGGTAACTGGGATAACAAATTAATTCGTATGTCTTTGTTGGTTTGGTTTGTGGCGTTTATTTGGGTCTATTCTGTCCTGTTCGTGGCCCTTTGTTAGTTGCTAAGGTCTCGGGTACACTCCTATCCCTAGACGCTAAAAAAGCGTTCGATCGGCTTAACTGGCAATTCCTGCAAGAAGCGCTCACCGGGTATGGCTTCCCCCCTACCTTCCTTAACGTAGTGAAGGCACTATACAGCACACCCTCAGCGACAGTGTTGAATTCAGGGTTCAGCTCCACCCCACTAACAATCACTAATGGCACCCGGCAGGGCTGCCCGCTTTCCCCACTGCTCTATGTGTTGGCCCTGGAACCACTAGCCATAGCGATCCGAAACAATCCCGACATTAAGGGGATCTCCCCATAGGTGGCAAGGAATATAAACTAAACCTATTTGCGGATGATATCCTTCTCACGCTATCTAACCCAGCAATCTCCCTCCCAAACCTCCACAGAGAAATACAGGATTACAGTAGGCATACTACCAGTTAAACCTAGCCAAAACCCAAGCCATGTGCATAAACATGCCCAAGACGGACGAAGAGAGGTACCGACTCAAATTCCAATATGACTGTAGGAATGACTTCTTGACTTTCCTAGGCATCAAACTCACCAAAAGACACACCGATCTCTACGAAGCCAATTACATTAAACTACTCAAAGAAGTGGACCGCATACTGCACTCATGGCAAAACAAGTTTCTTTCCTGGTTAGGCAGAATAGCGGCCATCAAAATGACAATCATGCCAAAAATCCTCTATCTGTTCCGTTCTTTACAAATACCCTTACCGCAGTCGTTCCTACTCAGACTCCAATCCAGCCTGATTAAATTCAGCTGGGGAGGAAGACACCCAAGGGTCCCAAGAACGTTGCTCATGAAGCCAGTAGACAAAGGAGGCCTGGGTCTCCTGAACCTTAGGGCGTACCACCATGCCGCACAAACGGTGAACATCCTCGTCATGCACTCCACTACATACACTCCCCAATGGATAGAGATGGAAGCTAGCTGCAGCGGAGTCGCAGATCTCCCTGCGGCCCTGTGGATACCCAAACAATTACGCCGCACACCAAACGCCCTACCCACCACTAAACTTCTGTACCGCATATGGGACAGTCACAGGTCCAAACTATGCTCCGCAGGACCATGGTCTAGGGCAACACCACTACGCTCAATAAATCTCTGTAACAACACATTCTCTTACAGAACATGGAAGGCCTCTAATATCACACACCTGCACCAGATAAGCTCCCCGCAAGGACTACTCCAGTTGACAGATATCCAAGCCACATACGACGTACCACCACAACTCACGTTTTCATATTGGCAGATGAAAGCACTCATAGGCAAAACCACAAAGCAAGGCCCCTCACTCGCATCACCCATCACCCTAACTCCTTTCGAAAAGATGTGCATACACCAAATCCCAACTAAAAAGACACTGTCTGTGTGCTACAAATCAATCACTGAGAGTGAAACCGAGACGGAGAGGAGATATCAGACCGAGTGGCATAGGGACATAGGCAGGTCACTCACACAGGACGACTGGCACTGTATTCACACAAACCACAAGGGCCTCACAACATGCGCCTCCCACATTGAGACCTCGCGCAAATTAATATACAGATGGTACATGGTGCCTGCACGGCTTAAGAAAATATACCCAGACACAAGCGACAGATGCTGGAGGTGTCAGACACAGGAAGGAACTATGATCCACATCTGGTGGACATGTACACTAGTCCAACCATACTGGAAGCAAATAGCGGAACTAATTCAAGGGGCCACAGGGTGCATACTAGACCACAATGCAGAAACATTCTTACTCCAACTCCTACCCAAAGGCACGCCACAATGCATCACCAAACTAATATTCCTAATATTACCGGCAGCCTCCTCATCAATAGCGAAACAATGGAAATCTCCAAAGATCCCATCCCCAGCAGAGGTAACAACAATGGTTTCGACAACACTAGAGTATGAGGGAATAATGTGGAACCAAACAAAAATGGGAATGGGTAACGCAACAGCGAAAACACTCTGGGCCACGTACTTAGCAGGCCGAGGGGTAGCCATTCTAATGGGAACACCAGCTCGATATTGACCCGTTGACCACGGGGGTGATGGGAAGAGGCATAAGTAACTGACCGGAGACACTGACTGCTGCCTGACGCTTCACCCACGCCTGCCCGCTAACCACTGAGCGACCGAGGCGGCCCATGACAACCCCTTTGCCCTGACGGACCCTCAGACAAAAGGAGTGAGACATTGGGGACTGGGTATAGGCCCACGGGACAGTGAATGCCTGGAAGCCCACCTTCAGGATTCAACAGATTAGACCCCTGGATGAGGACACATATGGGGCGACTTGCCGCCTGCCGCTCAGACACACCGCTCACACAAGCAGTGCAGCTCCACAAACAGATCTAACACCCACAGCACTACTTCTGACCATTGCACTATAGTGCCACTTAAGCCGACCCCGGCCAGGGAGGAGAAAACACTCAACACTCACACACAAAACACCCAGTTACTTATACCTCTTTTGAGCGCAGCTCAATATACTCTTGTATCGTTATATTGTTCACAAATAGTAGCCTAGATAGTACACGTGCTCTAGGCACGTTCCTGCGCTGTGCTCGTTGGGACACGCCTCAAGTGACAGGTACCTTACTTGCTCTGGTTTGGGAAGTGGGGTGTGCCCCGATAGGAGGTGCACCGCATGACACCCGACTACAGGTGCCACGTTACCGTATATCCTTGACATAGGGATTGGCATACAGCTAATAGTTGCTGCCATACCCCGAGCGGAGGACTCACCTATAGCGCTCCCTGTGGGCGTCGCGGGTGTACGTCGCATTCCTGCAGGAGACGCACTTCAGGTGAACTACTTGACTGGCACTCCGGGACTCCAGGTACCCAGTGGGGTACTTCGCAAACCACCCCTCGGTCAAAAAAGCAGGGGTTGCAATCCTCTTCGCGAACTCAGTCCCATTTGTTTGTGAAGAGATCAGCAAAGACCCTCTGGGCCGCTAACTGTTCCTGAAGGGCTCAATCGCAGACATCAAGCACACCTTCGGATGCATCTATGCCCCAAATACACGACAAGATTGCTTCATGAGGAGTACCCTGCGCAAACTTGAGCAGTTCCGAGAAGACCTGCTTCTGATGGCAGGGGACCTGAATGTTTCCCTGGAACCACAGCTGGACACATCCACGGGTAGTAGCTCGCTGCCTCACCACAGCCTACGAGGTAACAAGGAAGCACTGCAGGGATCGGGTCTGATGGACAGCTGGAGGGTGTTACACCCCGCAGAAAGAGACTACTCTTACTTCTCCACGGTTCACAAGAGGTACAGTAGACTAGACATTATTTTCCTCGCACAAGAATTCTTACCCCTTCTCGTATCAGCGGAAATAAAGACGATGGGGTGATCAGACCACGCACCCATATCGACCTGCATAAAGCCCCCCCTATTCCGACCTAAAGAGCGCTACTGGAGAATGAATGAATCCATCCTGATGGAGTTGCCAGTGGTAACAGATATACGCACTGTAATCACCACTTTTTTCGAAGAAAACGACGCTCCTGATACTCCACCGCTAACGATTTGGGAAGCTCATAAATGCGTTATTCATCTTATCAAGGTATGCACACAACGGAAAAGGGAACAGAGAGAACGTATGACGGAACTGTATAAGGAAATTGAGGAACTGGAAAGGACGCATCAGACAACCTAAACCATCTTACAAAACCCTGGAAGCTAGGAGGACGCTCAAAAATCTCCTTTCCCAAAAACTACAGCACACTATACGCAAATCAAGGCGCTTTTTGTACAAATACTCGAATAAATGCGGCAAACTCCTAGCCAGGATGCTCCAAAAACAGACGCATGTGCCACATCACCAAAATCAAGCCAAGAGGGAGACTGGCAACCCAGCTGCCAGATGGAATCAGGGAGTTATTTCACAGATACTACTCGGACTTGTATAATCTACCGCAGAGGGAACAGTGGGCAGCCGAGCAAATACAAGGATACCTGCAGCAACACGTCACTAAGACCTTGGACCGGGAGGAAGATGAGGCCCTGGAGGCCCCCGTCACATTGATGGAACTACAGACGGCACTGAAGTCCTCAAAGTTGAATAAAGCCCCGGACGGACTAGCGGTTCGCTACTTAAAAGAATTTGGGGACCTGGTCCTGCAGCAACTCCTCTAGGGAATAAACTCCATTTGTGACAGTGGCGCCTTACCAAGAGACACACTGGCGACTACCATAGCTGTCATCCTGAAGGAGGGGAAAGACCCCACTAACTGTGCGAGCTACAGGCCGATATCCCTCCTGAACGCAGACTTTAAGCTCTTCACAAAAATCCCGGCCACGCGTCTAAGCGGAGTCCTACCAGGCCTAGTGGATCCGGATCGGGTGGGCTTCATCCCCGGAAGAGAGGCCAGAGATAACACAACACGGGCCCTAAATGTCATCCACACGGCTAGACGAACACAACGGCAGATCCTTCTCCTCTCTACTGACATGGAGAAGGCTTTTGACCGCGTGAACTGGCAATATATGAAGGCCATCCTGTCAGCGATGGGATTCGGGCCGTATTTACTGGCATGGGTGTCGTCACTGTACACGCTTCTGAGTGCCAGGATCTGGATAAATGGAGCTCTATCGCCGCGTTACAGTTTCGGAACGGGACGCGGCATTGGTGCCCGCTTTCCCCCCTTATGTTTTCCTGGCACTATAGTGGTCCTTTAAAAGGAAACAGGGCTTTCATTTAACATCAAATATTTAGGTATGAAACATAATTTAATATGAATAAAATATTTTAAAAATGGGAGAAAATAAGAATTTAAAAAAATATATTTTAGTTCAAAGTGACATTCTAACTGTGAATGTCATAATACGGTTTGCTTTTACTGCAATAAAATACACATATTTGTATTCAGCGATGTCTCACGTGTAAAACAGTAACCCTATGTACAGGTTTATGGTGTTTTGGGAAGTTACAGGGTCAAATATAGCATGTTACATTTTTCAGTTTTTTCACATTGAAATTTGCCAGATTGGTTACGTTGCCCATATGGTAGCCCAGGAATGAGAATTACCCCCATGTTGAATTACCATTTGCAATAGTAGACAACCCAAGGTATTGCAAATGGGGTATGTCCAGTCTTTTTTAGTAGCCACTGGGTCAAAGTATCACAGCAATAATATTGTCAGTGTAAGTGCCGTTTGTGTGTGAAAAATGCAAAAAACTTCCCTTTCACTGACGATAGTAGTTTTGATATTAATATATATATATATATATTTTATTTTTTTTTAATATTAAAATACACTTAGTGTATGTATATTTATGTGTATGTGTGTGTGTATAAATATATATATATATATATATATATATACTTAGATCATATATATAATAAATATATAAATGATCTAAGTATATACAAGTTAATTTTAGACTGTTTTAACCTTTTTTTCAGGCAGCAGGGTGAGTACCTGTCATTACAGGCACTCCCTCTGCTGGCACTGACGTGGACGGCTATGCTCGCGATCACATGGCCCTGGAGGGCCGGAGAGGAAGGAGGGGGACTCCCTGGGATTCCAGGTGAGTTCCCAGACCGCTATCACCGATAAGTAGAAAGGACGGCGGGGATGTGCTATGCCACCCCCCGGTGTTTAGAGCCGGGTCCCCAAGGACGGCATAGCAAGCCAGCCGTCCTTAAGGGGTTAATATATCGACACTATGAACTCTATATTCACTCTAATTAGTAATGTAATTACCTAATTCTAAGCACTTAATTTATGACAAATTTGACACTCTACCAATATTAACTTAAGAAATACTACAATATTTTTGACTAGAAGTCACTTGAATAATAACTTAAGGTGAATCTAACAATGTAATTATATTTTCATTTAATTTATTTAATAATTGAGAAGTGGGGAGAGAGAGAGAAGCATAGGAGCTTTTTTCTCTCTTAAAAATTATGGATTCACTATGGATTGTTAATAATTGAGAACACTAGACTTTATATATCCTACTGAAAACACACTTGTTAAGATTGATGCCGAGATTTTCGTTTTTGAATACGCATGCCATCATTATTTTTTCACCATATAATAGCCACCAGCGACTGAATGTCCCTGAGGTATTTGTGTTGGATTGTTCTTGTTTTTTGGGGGATTGCTTTCTCAGAGCAGCTACCGCAGGAAATTTCCTTTATAGTAGCATATTTAGTGTTTGATTTGTGTTTGTTTAGTCAATGTGTTGTGGCGCCTGTGGAGGGCAAGGAAGACTCCGCCTATCTGAGGTTAAGGGGGATCATCTCTGGGATAATCGGGGATGACATTATAAATTAATGTCAATCAATATAGCTTCCATCAATGCACAGGGATTAAATTCCCTAATAAAGAGTGGCTTTCTATATAGAATGCTGTTTGATGAAAAAAAACAAAAAAAAAACGATCTGTGTAAGGATGAAACCTTTTGGAAATTTACAAAATTCCCCATTGTTTTAAGGGCAAACTTCTCAGACTCCAAGAAGAGAGGAATTGCTATTATATGCTCAGTCAAGATCAAGTTCGAACAGCTCCACAGTGAAAGACCAGTTGGGTAGATTTTTAATTCTAGTTTGTAAATTAAATGATATAATATATATGTTTGGCAGTCTATACGCTACAAATGATTTCTCCCATACATTTTTTAAGAAGCTTCTTGGGAAAGTGGAGAAAATGAAAAAGGGGGGTTTTATTCATTGGTGGCGACTGGAATACAATTTTAGACGTTGAGCTGGATAAAACCTCTAAAATCTCTAAGCGTATGTCAAATTTATAAAAAAATCTCGCTCCAAATGTGTACAAGAGATTTTTACTAATTAGGATTTATATGGCATTTGGAGAACTCAACATCCAAAAGATAGGGATATTACTTTCTTTTCTAAAGTTCATTTAAGTTACTCGAGAATTGATCTCTTCATAACAGACTCAATAAACCTAAATAAGATCGTAAACTTGGAATTTGGATCTATTGTTTGGTCAAATCATGCTGCTATTAAGGTTTCTATAGATAATAATTCCAAATTTAAATCAAAATGGAAACTAGACATTTCTATTGTTTTGATAGAGACAAATAGGGCCCACTTAGAACATCTAGCAAGAGATTTTCTTATGAAAAACAATAATGGACAGGTTTCTAATGAGACTCTTTGGGCAACATTTAAATGTGTTATGAGGGGGTATTTTATCCAACTGGAAGCTAAAGCCAGGAAAGCAAGAGGAACTAAATTAGCAGACCTTTATTTAACTTGCAAAAGTTGAACAACTTAATAAAAAAAATAAGAAAATACAGTCGAATCATTTACAAATTAATGCAATCCAGTTCCAAATCAAATTTTTATTAGAAGAAAAAGTCAAACAATCACACAATTACATCAAATATAGTATACTAGTAACAACAGAGTGGGGAAATCCCTCTCTAAAAAACTCAAACCTGATCTTAAGAAATATGGAATTAAAACATTATAGAAGGTAAAAAATCCATCTGTCCCCTCAGAACATAGGTAAGGCTTTTGCAGAGTACTATGCCTCCCTTTATAATCTACAGAATAATAGAGTTTATTTTATTGATTTAAAATCTTTTTTTTTTTTTTACTAAACTCTCTTTTCCCAAAATTGATTTAGAAAAACTAGATACTCTGAACAAACTCATCACAGCTGAAGAAATTAAAAGAGTGATTATGAATCTTAAAAACAACAACAAGGCCCCTGGCCCAGATGGCTTTACAGCATATTTTATAAGACTTACAAATTAATTATTACTCCTTTATTATGCAATTAATTTGCAGAAAAGAAGAATTTTAAAGTTTTTTCATCAGATATGATGAGTGCAACGATCTCACCAATCCCAAAACCTGGTAAAGATCCATGCAACATAAGATATAGATAGAAGATATAAAAATCTTCTCTAAAATCTTAGCCGATAGACTTAGCTTGGTTATTTTGGACTTAACCCACATAGACCAATCAGGATTTATTAATTCGAGATCAGCTTGCGATAATTAAAGATCTTAAATGTAACGACTGTTGTCAATAGGAATCTCTTTTCATTAGTCTTTATTGCGGTTGACGCCGAAAAGGCGTTCGACAGAGTAAATTAATTTTTTTTTGTCAGCTACCCTCTCTGCTTTTGGAATTGAAGGAAAATTTGAAGATCTTGCACTGTCACTTTATTCTAGGCCTTTAGCAAAATTATATGGAACAGGCTTTAATTCTACCTGGTTTCCCATTAGGAATGGTACTCGACAAGGCTGTCCATTATCGCCTTTACTCTTTATTCTATCTATAGAATCCTTAGCAGCATATTTCAGACTAACTAGAAACATCTCCACTATCTATTTAGCCCATCAAGAACAGAAAATACACGGTTTGCCGATATAATTTTTGACAAATCCAGGGGGTTTCTATTCCAGTTGTGATGG